CCATACATTCGATTAACGCTCTTCTTTAAATATATCACGTGCAATTGTTTATCAAATACATCAACAGTTACAAACATCTTTATTCACAAGACAAATCTTCCCAACCAAATCAACATAACATCAACTAAGCAAACGTGCATTGCACGTTGCTCCTAACTAGTATATATATATAAACAAAATTCTTTCATTGGAAGTACAAAAGCAGTTGTGGCCACCAAAACTCGACAGATTTTAAAAATATTTTTAATTATTTGGTAATTAAATAGGCTAGTGAGCTTGAAAAGCTAAATTCGGTTACCTCGTCCCTTCAAACGAGTTGATTCATAGCAAGACTAGACCCATGTCATATATCCCGATGGCTCAATCCATCTTTCGACGTCTAGTCTAGCAAGTCAAATTTGACAAATCAATATACAAATACTACTTGTAATCTATCACATCTATTGTGGTGGGTTGTTTGTTGCTTAACCAAATCCAGTTATTAATGCATGGTGCTAGCTATACTTTTAGAAGAAAAAGTCTTCTTTTTTATTTTACTTTACTTAATTTTGTATTAAAATGTTTCTCATTGTTACATGTACGTATCAACTGCACAATGATTGCAACACAATTTTTGTTAATAAAATGTTCAAAAAAATTATGAAAATACACTGGGTAGATTGGATATAATTACACTTTGCGGACCGTTTTTTACAAATTTATATTTTACATGCGACATTTTGCTTGATGATTACACAACGAAACTATATTCTCACCTCAATGTTTATGCTCTTTGGAGATCAATTATAGTATTTCTAATAAAACCATGGTACGTATAAACTTGTGATTATTTAGGAATAACATATTTTTGAAAAATATAACACGATATTCCTATAAAATATTATTTTAATATAGAATCACATTTCTTCAAGAGCGACGATACAATATTTTTTGAAATATGATATATACTTGGTTATGATTGTTTGTAAGCCAATAGAATAACATTCTTCTAGAATATTGATACATTTAACCCATGTTTGACTTTCTTCATTGTAAATTTTTTAATTCTTATACTCACTCTAAAGGATCTTACTACATGTACCTTTTGGGGTACATGTTGGTTTACCCAGTCCACCCCCTCCCTCACATCGGAGTCGGGTCCCACACATTTATTGGATGTGGGACCCGACCCCCATGTGAGGGAGGAGGTGGGGTCGAGTAAATCAAAATGTACTTCAAAGGGTACAAATAACATAATTCCATTTTAAACTACACATTTATGCAATAAAATATTTTGCACTTAAATCTATAACTTTTCTTTACTTTTTAACAATACATTATCCAAAATATCACTATTCAAAACATCAGTTTCTTCCGATTTCTCTTTGTTATGACCATTAATCAGAGACTTAAATTATTCATAAATATATATATATATATATT